CTTATAGTTTAGGGGTTTATTGTAATTAATTTTTTTTTTAATACATACATAGATACGAAAATAAAGATGCATTCACATTTGAGGCATATATATTGGGAGATGGATACAATTTGTCTATATTGAAACTTTTATTGTGTAGAAATTAAAAGATGAATTGTGTTCGTCTCGTTTTGTGTAGATTTAATTTAGAATTAGCTTGATGATCTTCGTGTTTTCTGTTTAAATAATAAACCCTTTCCAATTAAATGTTGATATCCTAATTTCAAACTAAAGATGATTAAACACGCAGAAAATTGCGTCTATGGCAAAGTGTGCTTTTTTCAAGTGACCTTGATTACATCGAAAAAAAACACCTTCATTAAAAACCCCTCCTCCTGAAAAAGAAAGCACAACAAAACAAATACAAAAAAAAAAACCAAAAAGCCGGAGAATCCAAATTAACAAGACGGCAATTGCCAGTTTGTTTCTTGTCTTGAAAATGCGATGCAATTGATGCACAAGAGAATCCTAATAATGATAGCACAATGACAAAACGCCCCCCAATGTCGCCGCCTGACTTTTGAAAGATTTGTTAAGTTTGTGTACTGGTCAAACTGGTCAATAAACGTTGGGTATGAGTTTGTAATGACCCTTATAGTTTAGGGGTTTATTGTAATTAATTTTTTTTTTAATACATACATAGATACGAAAATAAAGATGCATTCACATTTGAGGCATATATATTGGGAGATAGATATATTGAAACTTTTATTGTGTAGAAATTAAAAGATGAATTGTGTTCGTCTCGTTTTGTGTAGATTTAATTTAGAATTAGCTTGATGATCTTCGTGTTTTCTGTTTAAATAATAAACCCTTTCTACCATTAAATGTTGATATCCTAATTTCAAACTAAAGATGATTAAACACGCAGAAAATTGCGTCTATGGCAAAGTGTGCTTTTTTCACAGCAGAAAACAAGTGACCTTGATTACATCCAAAAAAAACACCTTCATTAAAAAACCCCTCCTTCTCCTGAAAAAGAAAGCACAACAAAACAAATACAAAAACAAAAAAAAATACAAAAAAACCAGAGAATCCAAATTAACAAGACAGCAATCGCCAGTTTGTTTCTTGTCTAGAAAACGCGATGCAATTGATGCACCAGAGAATCCTAATAATATCTATCATTCTTCCTCTCTTGCTATTATTATTTGAAATTACAATGACAAAACCCCACCCAACGTCGCCGCCCGACCTTCCATGCAAGGTCCGCCTCTTACTCTCCCTCCTCACCACCGTCCTCAACACCGTCCGCCGCTCCAATGGCACCATCAACCGCCGTCTCATTAGCCTATTCGACCTCAAAGCCTCTCCGTCAAGCAAACCCAACAACCACGTCAAAACCTGTGACGTGATGGTGGACCCCACTCGCAACCTCTGGTTTCGCCTCTACATTCCCTCCGCCGCCATCACCACCACCACGACCAGCCCCTCCGCCAAGCTCCCGCTTATAATCTACTTTCACGGCGGTGGCTTCGCATTATTTTCTGCTAACTCAAAACCCTACGATGACCTTTGCAAACGGCTCTCCGCAGAGCTCCCCGCCGTGGTCGTCTCCGTCAACTACCGCCTCGCTCCGGAGCATATTTATCCCTCCCAATACGAGGACGGCTTCGACGTGCTGAAATTCATCGACCAAACAACAATTGACGGGTTTGATCTCAACAACGTTGACATCACCCGGTGTTTCCTCGCCGGAGACAGCGCAGGTGGCAACCTGGCCCACCACGTGGCCATCAAGGCGAGCGATCATCATGAGTTTGGCAAGATGAGGGTTGTAGGACTTATAGCGATACAGCCGTTTTTTGGTGGGAAAGAAAGGACTGAATCGGAGACAAGGCTTTCGAAGGGTTTGGTGCTTTCTTTGGGGCAGACTGACTGGTACTGGAAGACATTTTTGCCGGAGGGGTCGGATAGAGACCACGCGGCGGCGAATGTGTTTGGGCCGGAATCAAAGGATGTCTTGGGGGTGAAGTTTCCGGCGACGATTGTTTTCGTGGGAGGGTTTGATCTGTTGCAAGACTGGCAAAGGAGATACTACGAGGGGTTGAAGAAGTCTGGGAAAGAAGCTTACTTGATTGAGTACCCAAATTCGTTTCATGGATTTTACGCTTTTCCTGAGCTCAAGGAGTCCTCTTTTTTGGTTAAGGAGGTGAGGGATTTCATTGATAAGCTCTGCTATGCTCCCTCTGGCATATCTTTTTAATTTAGATTGCTCAATTTGACCTCTAAACGAACATAATGGCTTAATCATTTTTGTCTTTGGGTGTCAAACTAAGTAAATTTTTCTGTCTCTATGAGTCAGTATTGTTTCATAGTCTGTCTTGTTTGATTCTATGTATTCAGTATTGTTGCATAGCAATGATAAGGTGTTGATGATATCATTGCCCATAACATGTCGATAAATAAAACATTATCCCATAGTTGTAGGTGTACTGGACAGTGTTGGTTGGGATCGAATTGGACATCGCGTAATTGCTCCGCCAAAACGGATAGTATGTAGTGGAGGGTCACATTAATTCCTGGGTCCATGAATGATTTCGACAAAACTTATGAATATCTATAGTTGAACTCGTTATCTTCTTCTTCTTTTTTTGGGTAAAATAGGGGGCAAAGCCCAAACCAAAAAGATTACACAGAAACAAATCTAGGCCTCAAGAGACCATTCTTATCATCATCTAAAATAGACTGCATCTGATCAGGAGGAGAAGAGAGCTCATGATAACCCAAATCCTTATGATGACCACTACCAAGTTTGTACCGGAGAAATAATTCAACCGGGGGATTGATTGACTAGTCCACATGAAAGAATCTTCAATTGACCATGTGGCTAGAGAACGAGCCGTCTAACTGGGACTAAGCTCACCAGCATGCACAACAGAATTCTCAATACTTGTGCACCTGTGATAAGTCCTACGCACTCAGACTAACCCCGCTAAGGGTCTACGAAACACCTCCTCAAGGGTGCCCGAGTTCTGACATATCTGAATATCCATAGTTCCCAATTTCCAATCCATAATTTCCAAATTCGGGGAGGTACATAGGGTAGTGCTTATAGCACTTCAAACTGACATAAACTATAGTCCACTCTCTTTCCATAATCTCATTACCAACACCCCACGTACCCCACACATAACTAAGCATAGATAGAAATTCTCGAAAATAATATATATCAACTCAATATACTCGCAACATGCCAAAACCCATGTATATTGCAATTACTTTACAAAAATATCAAGTTTCAACTATTAATTATATAATAGATTCAATGAACCATTAAATCATTATGCATAGTTTTTCCGTCATAAAATAATGCTTATTATTTGAAAACAAAGTCCACACACTGTTTGGGCCAAAAATTGACACACCCAGCCCAGCGAAAAGATGGAAGCCCAAAAAACCAGAAGAGTCCAGCCCAAAGCTCATCAGAGCAAACAAAGCTGATTTGGGCCTCACAGGCCCAATATGATAGGAAGAGGGAGCCCAGAAAAAGGAACAATCCCACGTGACATCTCTGGGATAAAGAAAGTCAGCAATGGCGGAAGTCAGCAATGGCAACTGCCATAGAAGAAGTGATTGAAGGGTTCATGACATCAAGTTGATTCTGAAAAAACTGAAGATCAAATCCCTCTTATATATGTATATTCAGAGATTTTTTCTTCTGTCCTTTCAGAGAAGGTAATTCTCCCAAGGAGATAAGCAAGTTACAATCTCAGAGAGGGATAAGCAGGAAAGCAGGGAGCTGTCCAGAAAAGGAATCAAACTAACCATCACGGGTAAAATATCACAAGGGGCAGCTGAAATTGGGAAAGATATTAGGTTCCTTTTCAAGAAAATCAGGGAAGTGATTGCCTATTTGAGAGCCTATCT